TTAGGGCCCAAATATGTACTATATGGGTACCCTAAACCCTAAACCCCAAACCCTAACCCTAAACCCTAAACCCAAAGAGCCACATGGACACTGAGGGAATCAGCCTTCGACTCTTGCCCCGAATAAACCCCGGGGCCAGGGCAGGCATGCAGGATGTAGGATCCTCGGCCTAACACTTGTAGCAGCACTACTCTAAAGCTTCAACCTAGAGCCCCCCTAGAACCCCAAAATCCTAAACCCTGAGGGTCCATGTACCTCATCATTATATACTTGGCCCTAAAGTCCCTATATAGGAAGTACTTTAAGGCCCAAGTACTCAATATTTAGGTGCATGGACACGTAGGGAAATAGCATTTCACCACTGCTCTCGAAGGTCCCTTCAATTGAGAAGGGCTTCAGGAACGCCACCCAGCCGGGCTCTCAGACACCCCGGGGAAGGGCACCCGGGTTTAGGGTTTAGGGTTGAGGGTTTGGGGCTTAGGGTGTTTTATTTCTCAGGACTCTAAAGTCTAGGTCCGGTAGTGTTTCTAGGGTTTCGGGGGTAAGCCCTAAACCCTAGTCCCTAAACCCTAAGGGTTTCCATCGTTCATATGCTTGGCCAAGAGCCCTTGTGGCCCTCCCTAAGCCCTAACGCCAAAACAATACCTAAACCCGAACGGTTCTCCGGGCCGTCGATCTTTCCATATGGGTAGTTTTCTAAATTAGGGTCCCTTTTTGGGTACCCATTAGAAGGCGGCACCCTTAGCATAAGGACCCCACAAAGCGACCCGAACTACAGACATTCTTGGGGTGCAGACTTTGCACGACTCGAGATTGGAGCGTAGGATTCCCTACTACCACAGAGCCCAGTACCCCCCCAACTAAGGAAAAACCTTAAAGCATACTAAGGATCCCTATCTAGTTTCAGGTATCTTCCTTTATGAAGGGGTCTTGGGCTCTTTACGATAAACATAAGAAGCCCTAGAGCTACTTGACGATGGTGGTTGATCCGAACAAAAGTTGCGGGTTTAGGGGCCCCAAACCCTAAACCCTAATATCAAGCATATTAACATCGTTTGTGTGGGTTGGATCTCGAATCCTAATTTCCGGGACCCCCTGAGGATTCTAGTAACCTATCTGTTGGTCCCTGGATGTACAGGGGAAATTGTCTTCCACAAGTCTAAACCCTAAACCCTAAACCCTAAACACTAAACCCTAAACCCTAAACCCTAAACCCTAAACCCTAAACCCTAAACCCTAAACCCTAAACCCTAAACCCTAAACCTATTGCCAGGAAGGGCTTGCTGATCGGAAGCCCGCTGATCTACATGCGTTGCGCGTGGGGCTCGGGCACCCCTGCGCTCCTAAACTTAGGGTTTAGGGTTTAGGGTTTAGGGTTTAGGGTTCAGGGTTTAGGGTTTAGCGTTTAGGGTTTAGGGTTTAGGGTTTTCAGGGTTTAGGGTTAGGGGTTACCTACGGTTTAGGGTTTAGGGTAACAAACCGCATAAACATACGGATCCTTCTATTGGGGGGTATAAGGGCCCCTATAGCAGGGAGTCTGGACAACCATTTCGTAAGAATCCTGACGTTTGTGTGGGTTTTTGTGCCCCTACATACCCTAAACACTAAACCCTACACTCTACACCCGATGACTCCCGAGTGAACCCGAACACCAAACTCGAAAACCCAAAGCAGCGCCACGTGTATAGAGCATACAAGGGTTCTAAAGCGTTTCGTGAGCCGTCAAGTCGGAGGGTTTAGGGTTTAGGGTTTAGGGTTTAGGGTTTAGGGTTTAAGGTTTAGGGTTTAGGGGTTTAGGGTTTAGGGTTTAGGGTTTAGGGTTTAGGGTTTAGGGTTTAGGGCGGCTGTTCCCTGGACACAGGAACATGCCCAATCCCCAAGAACTAAAGGCGTTCCGAAACCCGCAGAAGCACATTCAAGGGTGCTCTTCTAGTGTCCTCTCTTGCTTGCGTTGCCCCATTATATGACCTCATCCCTCTAAACCTAAACCCTAATCCGTAAACCCTAAACCCTAAACCTCATCCCCCCCCCCCCCCCCCAGAAAGTCTTCATCAGCCCCAGGAGCCTTAGTTGGCCTTACATACGCAGTTCAAATCGTCCCTCTGTTCGTAAAGCCCTGAACACTAAAAAAACTCAAACTTTTTTCAGCCCAAGCCCATGACCTGAACCCGGCAAGATTGAGGGCTTTGGTTTTGGGGTAGGGTTTAGGGTTTAGGGCTTAGGGTTTAGGGTTTAGGGTTTAGGGTTTAGGGTTTAGGGTTTAGGGTTTAGGGTTTAGGGTTTAGGGTTTAGGTTTGAGGGTTTGAGGGTTTGAGGGTTTAGGGTTTAGGGTTTAGGGTTTAGGGTTTAGGGTTTAGGGTTTAGGGTTCAGCCCTCCAATGGAGAAGCAGAGCGCAAGTGCTGGGGAGGTTTGTCTCCGAAGAGCTGTCAAAGGATGACACGTAGACAGAAAGCAACCCCGATTCCTCCGGCCCGGCTGGCATCCTCAGCAGATGGTTTCCTACGCGAGCTAGAGTTTAGGGTTTAGGGTTTAGGGGTTATTGAGGGTTTAGGGTTCAGGGTTCAGGGTTTAGGGTTTGGGGTGGCGGGCGCGCAAGGTGGCCCTTCTTGCCGAGGCCTCACCTCGGGAGCAGTACCCTTTTCTGGTTCTTAGTAGGGAGTTGAGGGAATGAGGTACCAGATGTATATATGCATGTACAGATGTACTCCCTTAAAGGGTATATGTAAGGTTCCCTCATTCCCTACTGTTCCCAGCGCTATGGTACCCTCAGAGTTGGTCTATGATTTAGGTACCAGGATGGGCTATTAGGCCTTAAGATCCCCTTCATGAACCCTGTTAAGGGCCTTTTAAGGGATTATAGGGTATAATCGCCCATCCTGGTAGTTTAGGGTTGAGGGCTTTAGGGTGTAGGTTTTAGGGCTTTCGCCGGGTGAAGGTGTTTTGGGAGCCCCCCCTCCTGAAGCCCGCGAGTTTCTCCAGGTGCTTGAGGACGGCGCATCGCACGAGGCTGCTGTTGCGCCCTAAACCCTAAACCCTAAACCCTAAACCCTAAACCCTAAACCCTAAACCCCAAACCCCAAACCCCAAACCCTACAGATTTGGGAGGGTGTAGGGTTTACTGGTCCAGATTTTCAAGGCAGGGAGCTTAAGGGATCGAGGGGGAGGTTTCGTAGTCGTTTGGGACCGCTTGGTAGGGAGGGGCCCCTCTACAGGCATTGGGGTTTCAGGTTTAGGGTTTCGGGTTTAGGGCTATTCAATATTTAGGACTGCACCCACAACTAAACCTGAAACCCCAAACCCTAAACTGGGGTCTTCACTTCCCAGCCAGCATCTGCCACGAGAGGGGGGGGGGGGGTGGTTGACTTTGTCCACCCTAAGTCTACACCCTTTTGAACCCTAAACTCAAAACACTCTAAACCCTAAACCCTATAAACTCTAAACCCTATAAACCCTAAACCCTATAAACCCTAAACCCTAAACCCTAGGATCAGTGGCCCGGTAGAGCATGGACCTGGTCATCGATGACTCGTGGCGCGTACTCAAGGAGTGCGTGGATGGGAGAACTCTGCCACACTGCAGTGCAGACCATGGCGCAGCCCCCCCACGGAAAATGCCAGAAAAGGGTTTAGGGTTTAGGGTTTAGGGTTTAGGGTTTAGGGTTTAGGGTTTAGGGTTTAGGGTTTAGGGTTCAGGGCTGACCCCAAATGCTGACTCTTCTTTCCCACTTCAGTTATCGGGGCACCTGGAAAGGCGACCCTCAGTCCATAGCCCAACACCCTATGCAGTAGTGAGCCCGGGCAAGCCGAAAACCAGAAAGGACCTAAACCCTAACAACCCCAAATCCTAGTCCCTTAGAAATGCGGAGCCCAAACTCTAAACACCCTAAATGCCCCAAAACCCTACACCCTGCCCCCCCCCCCCCCCGCCCTCCCCGAGAAGATAATCACAAAAACAATATATATGTACATATATATATATATATACGCACTTAAGCAGCCTACCCTAAGCCCTAAACCCGAAACCCTAAACCCTAAACCCTAACTCCCCAACCCCCCCCCCCCCCCCCACACCCCCCAAAGAAAAAGCACAAAAAACACTAATGATAATAATAATAACAATAATAATAATAGTAGTAATAACGACAATAATAACAACAACACAGATGTAAGCCCACACCGCGGATCCCTTGCTTCAGGTCGACTCCTCCTCCGAGGCGTTCATGGCGGCCGCACAGGGTGCCTATGAGACCTTCTACCGCCTGGCGCCCCGAGTGTTTGGGGGCTTGGAGGTTAGAGTTCGTAGTCTTGAAGGGTTTAGGGTTAGGGTTTAGGGTTTAGGGTTTAGGGTTTAGGGTTTAGGGTTTAGGGTTTAGGGTTTAGGGTTTAGGGTTTTTCACTCTGTGCTTCAGCTTTACGTTACTAAACCCTGGACCCTCAATCACCCGGCCAGCCTAGACTCATTGGGGTTCCCTGCTACCCGCCTCTTCTCTACCCCCCCCCCCCCCCGCTTGGTCCCCCCCGTAATTAAGGCCTTTTTAGGGGGGAGAGTATAGAGAGGGGTATGTAGTAGGGAAACCCGTCATAAACCCTCCCGCAACACGCCTCGGCAGGGCTGATGGGCTCCATAGCGTGGGTTGAGGGACTAGGGCTTTGGGTTTAGGGTTTAGGGTTTAGGGTTTAGGGCTTCGGGCTTAGGGTCTTAGGGTTTAGGGCTCGAGCAAGAAAACCTCGGAGTCGGCGGGTTCTAGTTGGCGGGTTCCGGAGCCCATCTTTCCCGATGTAGGCATCTCAAGGTTTAGGGTTTAGGGTTTAGGGTTTAGGGTTTAGGGTTTAGGGTTTAGGGTTTAGGGTTTCGGGCAACCCATCTGCCTCGTCTCCTCGTGATCTCTGTGGTGCTTTACTCGACAAGCCAGCAGAGAGCCCTTCATTGACTCAAGAAGACTCGTGCATGCACTGGCCTAGGGAGGTCGCAGGACCTGCCTTCGCAGCAAAATCCCGCCATGCGCCTTCGCAGCCACATCTGGGCATGTGCGGCAATGTCGCTGTGCTACTGGCAAGGTACCTTGGACCGACCCTTTCTTGCGCTCTACATTAAACTTGCTTCAACAGATTGGTTTTGTCCGAATGCGTTTCCGATTTTGGTTTTTTTTTTAATGCACACTTGAGCATCCGTGTTCGGGCAGCGTAGGGCACGTGATCCAATTCTTGCCGGGCCCGATGCCCCAAATCCTAAAATCTTAATTCCATCCCTAAACCCTAAACCCTAAACCCTAAACCCTAAACCCTAAACCCTAAACCCTAATTCCTCCCCAAGGTAAGGAGCGCACCAGCGCTGGGCGTCATGGGGTGCCTGTCAACCGTCAGGCCACTAGGTAGCCAAGTGACACCGTTTGAAGCCCTAAATCCTAAACCCTAAACCCTAAGCCCTAAACCCTAGCCCTAAACCCTAAACCGCTTGCTGAGGGGTTTGGAGGTTTTCTTCGGGTTTAGGGCTGTAGGTTTCCTTGTGAAGCTACAATAGGGCCCTTCCTACTCAAGACTGCTTGGGGACCTAGGCCAGGGGCGCCGGTGCTTTTGCAAAGCGACGCCGTCAGGCCAACCTGCGCCAGAATCGGAGCTTCGACATCGATCAGTGGGAAGTGAACCAGGGGATTGATCTGGCCGAAGAGTATCTCCAACCAACTGAGGACTTGCCCCAGGCTCTTTGGCAACTCGTTTGGCGCTGTGACGAGGAGAGGAGGAACTTCTTTTTCGAAGGCACAGGCGAAGGCTTTGGAACTTCGAGACGGACTATCTGCAGTGCCATTGAGGAGAAGTTGGCCCAGTGTGACCTGCGGCCAAGGCGTGTGTTTCTGAGTGGTTCCACGAAGCGTGGGACCAGCGCACACTTGGAAGATGACATGACGAACATCCGCACCTGCACTGACTTCGATGTTGTTGTTGGTTTCGAGCCACGGCTCTTTCATCAGCTGCTCCAGAAGGATTTCGAGCCAATGAGGCGGTGCTTGATGTCCGAAGTGAGTGGCCAGAAGTATGGCATGCCGATGAACACTTCTCGCTCCCGGTATCTGGGGCTTATTTGGGTTTAGGGTTTAAGGGGACTCCAGCAGAAAGACCTTTTGGCTCTACTCCCTATACAACCCTCTCCCTATATGCATGACCCATTGACATTTAAATCTTTGAGGACATAAGCCCTAGACCCTAAACCCTACATAACTCAGTATATAGCCGCCAGAAACTTAGTTTTTGTCTAGGGTTTTGGGTTTAGGCCGGCCCAAACGCACCTCAGGTATGGCTTTGAACTTCATGTGGGCCTGGGTCCGGTAGATGTGGTTCCAGCAGAAATCTGCGACGGCCAGCCGGGGCACCGGCTTTGGGACACTCACCGCCAAGGGTTTGGGATTTAGGGTGTAGGGTTCAGGGTTTCGGGTATAGGGTTTAGGGTTTGGGTTCTTGAGTAGTTCATCTGCTATCCTATAGCAACGTGCTTTGCTGTCCTCCCAGTTCCGTTGCCTTCGTCGTAGGGCCTTCGACCATTCCATCACGGTGCTCTTGGTTTTGCTGTGAACCTACAAGTAGGGGCCCACTAGTTATAGATAGAGTTATGGGTCCTAACATGGGGTGATCAGTCTTACTCTTTTGGATATAACTCCCCTTACTAAAGTTCGTATAGCAAGGGGGCCCCTACGTAGGACGAGCATGAGCAAGCGATGTTGCGCAACAACCCCCAAGCGATTGAAGAGAAGCTGGAGAGCAAGCAGAAGGAGTCCAATCTGGAGTGGAGGGCTGTTGTGTTGCTTTGCAAGCTATGGAATCGGCATGCGAAGGAAATGCAGAGCACCGCCCGCCGTGACAAGTTGCCCTTTGGCTTCGTCTCCAAGAATTCAAGCCTGAAGCGGAGCTTCGAGTCGAGCTGGCAAAGGTGTTGTGAAAGTTCGGAGGCCGCCATGCTTAGAAAGTCCAAGTTGGGCTTCAGCAGCTTACACATTGAAATGCTTCTGCTGTCCTTGCCGGTGCCGCAGAAGGATCAGCGCAATGTAGCAGAAGTCTTTCGCGGCGCTCTGTTCTTCATGGCCGCCAACTGCCAAAGCAACACTTGTGCAGAAGCGTCCTGGACCGGCCGTCCTGTACAACATCAGGTGGATGATGGGTGCGCCCGATGCATCCGAGAATTCGCCGCGCTCAGCCTGCAAGCACTGGAGGATGCCATGGTTTAGGGTTTAGGGTTTAGGGTTTAGGGTTTAGGGTTTAGGGTTTAGGGTTTGGGGTTTTGCAAACTCTGATCCCAGATGCTATTATGGAAGACTGCAGGCTATCTTCGGGCGAAACATAACTAGACTCATCTACCCGGCCATTCCCAGCTGGATGCGGAAGTACCAGGCAGCCGGTGGAAGCAGTGATCATTTTTGCCGTGTTTTCGACCTCGACCCCACCAAATTGGAGCAAGATATTGCACAGCATGAGTACAACATCACCAGGATCGAGCGGCTCAACCGGAAGCAGAACTGGATTATCTGGTAGACGCCTCCACACCCTATAAGACACCCAAGTACTGCAGCTCAGGAACGAGAAAGAAGAGGCGTCGCTTTGCTGGACATGCATGTCCCAACCCCAGAACCGCTGGACTACCCCAAGAAGATCCACGAAGCCTCCCCTGTCGCAATCCCAAAGCCCTAAGCTCGTAAACCCTAATTGCTATAAACCCGAAGCTTATAAACCCTAAACCCTAAACCCTAAACCCTAAACCCCAAGCCCCCCCCCCCTCCATCCCTCCTTGCGACCGTGAGCCCCCGCTAAGTTGATGCGAACCCTGTGGTCTTGGAGCCGATGATGAAGGACAGGGCATGGGCTGTGCAGTTCTCAAGATTATTATCTTACTGCTGTTTGCTTAAGAACCCACCCCCCCCCCCCCAACAAAAAATTGAATCATAAGAAGAATGAGAAGATGCAAGAGAATGACTCCTAGTCTGCCCTTAGAAGGACGAACATTCTTGCATTAGTTTGTTGGTTTGGGGTTCTTAGGCACATCGTAGATTGGGATAGTACTAAACTACTATAAAGTGCTATACTGTTCGATTCTATGTATATACTATATTCTACTTTGTTATTGTATGGTTTATATCCATACTTTGATAGTTGCATATTTTGCATTTTATTGCTTAAAGATCTAGCAGGGATTTGCAGTGAGGTTAGGGGGCTTAGCCCTTCAAACTTTCACCGTAACCCTTCTTTTGAACCCCAAACCCTGAACCCCTGAACCCTAGATCCTAAACCCTGCCAGGAAGCCCTTCTGACCTAGTAAGTAGGATTAGTAAGTTGGGCTATCGGGGTTATGAAGGGGCTTCTAGGGAAGACTAGGTAGACTTAGTGAGTCAAAAGGGCTTCCATGTAAGCCCCTAAAATCGATGACCCTATACCCTAAACCCCAAGCCCCTAGAACCCTAAATTCCCCTAAGCCCTAGGCAGGGCCCCAATTGATATCACCCCTCTATATCTTACGTACCCGCCTGTCTTCGAATGAGGGAATTCTCGGTACCCTGAACCCAAAACCCCCTTTTGGTGTTTAGGGTTTAGGGCTTCGGGTACCGGATTCCCTCAATACCTACCATAGGGAATGCTGTAACATGTATATCTGGTACCCCAATTCGGCCCTGGGGGCACGGAATTTATGTGGGTTCAAGAGGATCATATCTAGAGTTTTTGTTCAGAGGTGTTCCCGGGCCAACCTAGCAAAGGCTGTCCCATTTCATAAAGCCTTTTGTAAAAACTCGATAGGGCACCTAAAGAAATCATTACCTACTCAGTTACTTCTGGTGTTGCGTTTCTTTTTGGGATCTTGAGGAATGCTGTTAGGGTTTAGGGTTTAGGGTTTAGGGTTTAGGGTTGCCGTATTCTCTAGGTGGACCCCCAAAAAATGGGACCCTAAGTCTGCCCGAATATAGGCCATAGTGGATGGGCGCTTTGGGTTCAGGGTTGGGGGGCTTTCGGGGAGTGAGGCTAGCTTCAGGTAAGCCGGTTGACCCTACACTCCGCACCCTAAATCCGAAACCCTAAACCCTAAACCCTAAACCCTAAACCCTAAACCCTCTGAACCCTGACAAGGTGGAAGTCACCTTCCCCTCGGAGTTCCAGGCGCAGACCATGCAGACGCCATGGCCTCGGGGGGGACGTGGGAGAAGAACTGGAGGCTTTGGTTCAAGGCTTAGGGTTTAGGGTTTAGGGTTTAGGGTTTAGGGTTTAGGGTTTAGGGTTTAGGGTTTAGGGTTTAGGGTTTAGGGGCCCCTAGTTATAAATAGAGTTATATGGGTAATAAATAGGGTTGCACTTACTATTTAGGTTATAGTCCCCCCTAACTACAGTTCGAATAGAAAGGCGGCCCCCTACTTGCAGGGTTTGGGGTTGAGGGTTTGTGGAATATAAGATAACCCAAAACCGCTAAACCCTGAACCCCAAATTCGAAACCCCCAAACCACTGAACCCCTGAACCACTTGACCCCTAAAGTCTAAGCCCCTAGACCCCAAAACCTAAACCCCTGAACCCTAGTTTGTACACCCCTAGACCCTCTAGCTTCTAAACCCTAAACCTCAAGCCCTAAACCCTAAGGGTTCAGGGTTTAGGGTTGAGTTTTTTTTTTTTTTTTTTTTTTTTAAGGCTCCGGGTTGACTTGCGGGTACTTAGTCGCTACCATTTGCTTAAGAAGACCCGACATTTTTGGGTTCTTAAGCAATAGTAGGCAGAGAGCCAGGAAATTTCGGGTCCCTACAGGGTTCAGGGTTCAGGGTTCAGGGTTCAGGGTTCAGGGTTTCAAAGGCCATAAACCCCAAAAGCCCTACAAACCCCAAAAACTCAAAGCAAAACATACAAAATCCCAAAGCACTAAAGACCCAAAGGCCCTAAAACCCCAAACGCCCCAACAGCAAAAAACAACCAAAGCCCTAAACCACCAAAAACCCAAAAAGCCAACCCCAAAAAAAAACAATAACACAAAAAGCCCTAAAACGCCAAAAGCCCCCCCCCCCCAAAAAAAAAAAAACACTAGAAAAACAAACAATCCCAAAAGTGGTTAAACCTTGAACTCTAAACCCAAACCCTGAAACCCTAAAAAACCCCAAAAAAGCCAGACTCTAAAACCCCAAAACCCCAAACCCCAAACCCTAAAACCCAAGAAACACAAGTTCCAAAACCTTAAAGGCCCTAAAGTCCCCCGACTCCTTCCGGTGAGAGCCAGGCTCAACAATCGGGAAGGCTCCATACAGGCCACCCAGGCCCGGACCCGGGGTTTAGGGGACCTCCCCCACCCCAAAGAACCCAAATATATAGAATCATACTAAGCGGCCCTGATTTAGAGAACATCCCATTTGGCGTTTCAGGGCCTTCGGGTCCCAGACCCTCAGCTTCCTCCACGCTGCGCAGGTAGAGCTGTGGGATGTCACCTTTTTCCTCTCTTGTGGTGATTGTGTTTAGGGTTTGGGGTTTAGGGCTTAGGGTTTAGGGGTCCTAAGGATAACTTCTCAGTCCCAACCGTTAGGGTTAAGGGTTTAGGGTTTAGGGTTTAGGGTTTAGGGTTTAGGGGTTATGTAGCCGCGTGGAATGTGGCACCTGCTGAGCAAGAGCTGTGGCAGGCCGTACGTGGCAGAAAGAGCATAGGGTTTAGGGGCAAACGTAAAGCAAGATTCCGCAAAATGAGCCCTCAAGGTTTTTTCGGGATCGTGTGTCAGGTCGTTCAACCTTCAACCCTTCAAGTAGGCCCGACTAAGAGCTTCCAAAGACCCTAAGACCCCAAACCCGAAAGCCCAAGCATAAACCCAAGGATCAAAGCTCAAAGTAGCCAACTGTGAAAATCCTGGGTCTAAGGTTAGGGGGTTTCAGGTGTAGGGTTGTGGGCTTCACCCTAAACCCTAAATCGTAAACCCTAAACCCTAAACTGTAGGGACCTAGGGTTTAGGGTTTAGAGTTTAGGATTTGCTCTGCAGTGCCAGGCGGTATCCGCAGATACCACGCTGGTGGAGGCCACTCTCTTACATAGAGACATCAGAAGATCGATGTCGGATTTTGGGGGCCGAGGCTTTGGGGCTTTGGGGCTTTGGGGCCTTAGGGCTTGGGGTTTAGGGATAGGCTTTGTAGGGCTTGAGGGTGTGAGGCCCTTAAACTTCGGGCCATGAGGATACTGGGTTTCGGCCCTCCACTTGGGGTCACAGGAACGCTTATATAGGGTTTAGGGTTTAGGGTTTAGGGTTGACTTGGTTGTGGGTTGAAAGGCCGAGGCCCTGAAGGCCCAGCTAAGCCCGGGCAGCTTCCCTAAACCCCAAAACCCGAAACTCGAAAACCGAATTCATCCTAAAGCCTAAAGCCTGAAGCCTAAAGCCTAAAAGCCTCTGAACACTAAGCCCTGAACCCTAAACCCTGAAATGCTTAAACCTCAAGACCAAGCCCCAAGACAGGCCACGGTGCCTCTGCGGCGAATGCTGGGTGCCTGGCGTTTGGGTTTCGGGTTTAGGGTGTAGGCTCTTTAGGGTTTATTGGGGTTTAGTAATCAGGGTTTGGGGTTGAGGGTTTGGGGTTTAGGGTTCAGGGTTTGGGGTTTAGGGTTTAGGGTTCAGGGTTTAGGATGTAGGGTATAGTTCCGCAGGCCCTCAGGGAGGCTGTAGAGAGCCCTAGAGGGAGTGTGTGGGCATGACTCCCTTGGACCCACCTCTAAACCCTAAACCCTAAGCCCTAAACCCTAAACCATAGACCCTCCTTACAAGATTTTCTAAGATTTTTTTCCGAGGTTTGGGGATTTAGGCTAGGGCTTAGGTTTTGAAAGCTGAGGCCCTTGACGCCAAGTTCTAGCATTGCACTCAAATCTGGGGTTTGCAAACTCTGCTTAGTAACTACAGGGCCCACCCTCCTAGGGACCACGGCTGACTATATCACAGGGTTCTGGCGTAGGATCTAGACAGTAGAGTCCCCACACGTTATGTTCGTGCTGCTACAGCACCCGGTAGTTTGACCCCGACCCCCAGTGCCTGCACGACGACTTAGGGGTAGAAGGGCTTCAGGCTACAAAGGGTTTAGGGTTTACGGTTTAAGGGCTTTGGGCTGCGTAGAGTTTCGGGTTATTTGGAGCTTGAAGTTTAGTTATGGGGGCAACAGGGCGGTAGGGTTTCATTTGCTTTCAAGGTGCTCTTCCGGTTGTACCCGAATCCCTAAACCCTAAACCCTAAACCCTAAACC